GTTCTAGTTTCACCAGCCATGTTTATGACAAAGATGAGGACAATAGTCCGAATAATGTAAATATATATATATATATATATATATATATATATATATATATATGACCGAATGTGAAAATATAAGTAGGTATACTTTTGCTTCAACATGGAGTTGTGCAATTAATGTAAGATATTATATATATTTCTTATATATATATATATATATATATATATATATATATATATATATATATATGTGTGTGTGTGTGTGTGTGTGTGTGTGTGTGTGTGTGTGTGTGTGTAAAAAAAAAGAAAGAACAGTAAGATATATGATCCGGTGTTCTTATAGATATTTTTATTTTTACAAAAATAGTGATCAATGTATATTTACAGAGCATTAATATAAATTAATTGATTTAAAATATGTTTTTTCCGCTCCACAGTTCTAACCATGTTTCAAAAATGGAAGCTAAAAGCCACGAATTTAATTAAAAAATTTAATTAGAAAATTCGCTTGAGGATGAAATGGAACTTATGTCTTTAATTTAATTTAAATTCTGAAAAGCTTCCATTTTGAAACATGGTTAGAACTGTGTAGCATATTTTAAATCAATTTTATAATTTATATATATATATATATATATATATATATATATATATATATATATATATATATATGTGTGTGTGTGTGTGAAAAGTGTATATAAATAAATAAATATATATATATAATTATTTATATATTATATGCGCGGTACTTATTAGAAAGCGCTCAATATCAGAGATAGAGCTAACATATTTGGTTTGTCTGACGATCGCTAAAGCGTGAAACCCAGGGTCACAAACTCACATCATCTATCCAAATACAAATATATATATATATATATATATATATGTGTGTGTGAGTGCGTGCGTGCTTGAGTGTGTTTGTGTGTGTGCGCGCACGCGTTCGTGTATGCGTTACTGTCTTGAATGGGGCGATTAAAATAATTAAAAAGAAAACAGACCTCAATTGCCCCTTTTTATTTTTTTTAGTGATAACAAATTCAAAGTTTCTTTATAAAATTATTTAAAGTCCTAACATTAACGATATTGAATCAATCCCCATTTATTTTTTTTTCCTAGTATCCCAAATCGCCGGCGCCAAATCATCTCTGCCAAATCGCCGGCGCCCAATCGTCGCATTCCGTATTTCGATTAGACTTGTGTGATGTTATCCAATTGGTTCTGCGAATTCTTCACTGCCGAAGGTTCGGCAAATGTGACTGTTTAGCAAGCCACATATAAAATAGAAAAAGCCTGCGAGGAAATTGATATTGAGACATTTACGGATATGGCAAGTAATGTTTTGCCATAATGATACTTCTGGTTTTATTTTCTTCATGTAAGAATTTATGGAAGCAGAGAGATTTTTTTTTTCTTATTTTGCTTTTTGATTTTATGAACCTTAATGTGTCTGCAAGTTATCGGTTGGTAGAAAGACTAACCTTTAAAACAGACTTTTATTTCTCAGCCATATGTTTTGCCCAAATTCAGTTTTCGCATCTATCTCAGCTTGTTCATCTATCTATCTATCTATCTATCTATCTATCTATCTATCTATCTATCTCACTTTGTTCATCTATCTCAATTTGTTCATATCTATCTATCTATCTATCTATCTATCTATCTATCTATCTATCTATCTCACTTTGTTCATCTATCTCAATTTGTTCATATCTATCTATCTATCTATCTATCTATCTATCTATCTATCTATCTATCTATCTATCTATCTCATTCATTTGTTCATCTATCTCAATTTGTCATCTATCTCAATCTTCATCTATCTATCTATCTATCATATCTATCTATCTATCTATCTATCTATCAATTTGTTCATATCTATCTATCTATCTATCCTCAATTGTCTCTCTCTCTCTCTTTATCTCATTCTGTTTATTTGTATTTATCTCTCTCTATTTATCTTTCTATCGATCTCAGTTTATTTATATGTATGTATGTATCTCTTTCTTTTTATTTGAATCTACCAGTCTCTCTCTCTCTGCCTATCTACCTATCTATTTCAGCTTGTTCATATCTATCTATCTATCTATCTATCTATCTATCTATCTATCTATCTATCTATTTATCTATCTAATTCTGTTTATTTTCCTTCATCTATCGCTGTTTATCTCTCAGTCTCTTCATATCTCTCTCTCTCTCTCTCTCTCTATATATATATATATATATATATATATAAGTTTGTTCTTATGTATTCATGTAACTATCTCTTTTTATTTTAATCTCTCTGTCTGACTATCTATCAATCTATCTCTCTCTCTCTTTCTATCTGTCTATCTATCTATCTATCTATCTATCTATCTATCTATCTATCTATCTATCTATCTCAGTTTTTTCATATGTCTCCATGTATCTATCTATTTTCATTTCAATCAATCTATCTCAGTTTGTTCACATGTTTCCATGTCTCTATCTCTTTTTATTTTAATCTATCTATCTATCTATCTATCTATCTTTTTTAAAAGATAGACACAGAAAGATAGAAAATATGCCAGATTTGGCGCATAATTAAATAGCTATGTATATAGCAATTTTGCATGCTAATACTCTTGGGAAAGTTATGAATCCTCTTCTTTTCCCCCAGCTATGGGTAAATAGCTGAACAGACTGGGTTCAATAGCCATGGATGGCAACTGGTCTGCCGTAGAAAGACATGGCAACCTACTGCGGGAAAAACATCTGCCTCGTCAGTCATGTATCAAAAGATACATGATCGCTTAAGCGTGTATCACGCATGGTGCATAACTGATATACCGATCTAAAACTGCAAAATCTAGTTCTCTCTCATTCTTTCTCTAGTTATAAATATAGCGATGTAGACAGCTATGAACAAATTGAGATAGATAGATAGATAGATAGATAGATAGATAGATAGATAGATAGATCAAAACATATTGAGATAGATATGAATAGAATATATATACATATATATATATGTAGATAGATAGATAGATAGATAGATAGATGGGAGATTATGATAGATAGTTTGATAAATAGATAAATATGGGCAGACAGTTTTAGATAGATAGATAGATAGATAGATAGATAGATAGATAGATAGATAGATAGATATCAGCAGACTGATGTAGATAGATAAATAGATAACAGCATGGTAAGATAAATCAAAACAGAGTGAGATAGATATGAATAGGTAACGCTAGATATATAGATAGGAAAAATAGATAGATAGATTAAAACAGATTGAGAAAGATATGAATAGAACTAGATAGATAGATAGATAGATAGATAGATAGATAGATAGATAGATAGATTGAGGAGATTATGATTTGAGATAGATTTGAATAGAATTATATATATATATATATATATATATATATATATATATATATATATAGATAGATAGATAGATAGATAGATAGATATGAAGATAGGCACATACTGTGATAGATACATAAATATGAACAAACATAGATATCTACCCCTCGCGATTAATTGCCGTTTCCTATTTCTTTTTCAATTTTATATTTAATATTCTGTCGACAAATGGAACAAAACAACAGAAATCAAAAAATAAAAGGACTTGTCAGATTTTTTTTTTTATTATTTCTCCCGACAGATTTCAATGTCGACGTTGTTTTGATTTTCCGTCTTTTCTATTCTCTCCAACCATCCCTGCCACGGCCCTAACTTACCCGCGCCATGTTCGTTCGGCACGAGCTTTTCCAAAAACAAACCACTGGCGCGTGTCGGTCTGTGTCAAAATGCGCATGCGCGAGCATAACGCATTTCACAATATCAATATTTTTGTCATGTCATTCTTCAATATCTTTCAGATCGATGCGGACGATTTTTCCCCCCAATATGGTGTGAGGCAAATCTTACAATTGGTTTATTCACCATTTCTTGTGCTGTCAATCAGTCAACTCCACTATACTGTTAAAAAAAAAATTCCTCTTTTATAGATTCGTGTAAGGCTAGATTTTATCTGCTTGTCCTCCACCTTAAATTACTCGAAGATAACAACGCAACGTTTTTATCCGTCATCTGGGAGACTTCTTTCAATCAGCATGGCTAATGCTAACCTCCGAGAGATTGACTTGCTTCGTCTACTCGAGCTAACATTCCATTGAATCCATTGCTAGGTCTGCTTGCCAAGAAAGTCGGTCCACTGTATCGACCTAGAATCTATCTTACATATCTATAAGTCTACCACTCGCCCATGCTTCGAATATTGTTCCGGTGACCCTGTTATAATATTTAGAGATTCTTGATAAAATCTGACGAAGAATCGGCAATATTATGGATCCGAGATGACGCCAGAGAAATAAGCCTAATTAAAACGGATTGAATCGTGGACACACACAAAGCTCACCGGACTTTGACAAAACGCGACACAAGATACGGAATCTAGTTTTCAACATTATCTCCTTCCTTCCTTTTCACTGCTATATATTTAGAGTTTCTTGATAAAAAACCCGAAGAAGATTCCGCAATATCACTGGTTCTGACACGGCACCTCGGCTTAAGTCACTTTCCAACCAGCATAAAGTGGCTTCCCTCTACCTTTTCTATAAATATTTTCATGGTAATTGTTCTGCTGAACTTCTACTATGATACCTAGTCTGCTGCCAAGAATATTGGTCCACTGTGTCGGACTAGACAATTCCTCTCCGCATAATCTATCTTTTTTATATCTATACGTCTATCACTCGCCCATAATTCGGATACTGATGCCTCATATCATCTGTTGCTCCTGTAATATATTTAGAGATTCGCGATAAAATCCCAAAAAAGAATCAGCAATATTAATGGTCCTGACCTGGCGTTCGGCTTAAGTCACTTTCCCACCTTCCCTGTGCCTTTTCTATAATTTCTGTATGAGCCCCTGCTATTTATTTAGAGAATCTTGATAAAATCCGAAAAAGAATCAGCAATGTTATTGGTTCTGACCTGGTATCTCGGCTGCAGTCACTTTTTGCCACGGCTATAGTGATTTTCCAAGCGTAGGTCAGATGTGGCACAAGGTCGAAAGTAGGGAGCAATCCCCACGACTGTAAAGCCTTTCCTTGGCCTTTCTGTAAATATTTTCATGGTAATTGTTCAAAAGAGTGCTTCAGTATGGGACATAGACTTAATGAATTCAAGTGCAGTACTAGATTGGCGGCTAGGTCACATCACTTTGTGCCTTCTTGGATTAACATTTTCCCCGGACAAGAAATGAAAAAGTATAGTGAATCAATCAGCAGCAAAGGAAGTTGGTTCACGGTGTCGAATTAATCACTTTTTCTCACTAGAATCTATCTTACATATATAAGTCAACCATTCATCTATGCATTGAATATTGCTGCCACATCTGCTTTGGTGTTTTTGCTAGGTATTTCAAGATCTCTATCTATAAAATGCAGGATGTGTGTGTGTGTGTGGCGTGTGTGTGTGTGTGTGTGTGTGTGTAACGAATGCACGGACGGATTTGCACCATAATGTACGTGCACATGCTCCTAGTTAGCGTAAAGGCCAAGACTAACTTTGCATTTCCCAACTCCCATCGATAGTGGAAATAATCGATTTTTTCATGCTTCTACAGAAGTTTTCATGTAGTTTGCGGCCATTTTCTACTGGACAAAGTGAGAGCCTATACTTGGCTGCCACGAATAGACAGGAAGATTCTATTGGCCAGCGTGAGAGCCAACAGCTGACTGACACGAATGTTAACTAGCATGCTAGCATGCAAAAAAATCAATAGCTGCATTCGTCACAAGTGGGAAAAATTTAAATCTGCATGGCACTTTACTCAAATCGGCTCATTCGCTTGCTTAAACTCAACGTTGATTCTGATTCCGCAGAACTGGGTTGGTTGTGAAAAAGTATTTGTTGTTAACATTCTTTTTTCATTCGGTTTTTCCAGTTACGCGTCCTTTTTTTTTTTTAAAGCTGATCGTTTTGTGTTCATTTGGTTTAGTTCTTTTTTCGTAACAGATTTAATGTTTAGTATAGAACTTAGAAAAAATTCGCAGTGTGAGATAGGCTAGAAGTAAGGCATGTAGCAACATCAGCACGGCAAAGGACACTCCTTTAAAGGCAAGGAAGGGCAAAAATATTTTAAGTCAAGTGATAACGATTGCTGTATGAGTCGTACGATTTTTGAATCAAGCCCGGGTAACGCCGGGCCATGCTAGTTCTTAATAAAATACAAAGAAGAATCTCCTATAATGTTAGTGGTCTTGACCTGGTATCTCGGCTTCCATCACGTTCCCACCACTGTAATGTTGCTAAGCTGTGCCTTTTCTATAAATACTTTCATGGTAATTGTTCCGATGAACTTTCTTCTATTTTTTTTATGCCTCTTGATTCATTGTGGAACATAGGGCCGCAACAACACCTCTCCGACAGACACGGTTCAGGGTGATCCTCTTCATCTCGTGTCGGCTGTTCTTTACCTTTCAAATCTGTTCGCTTTCCTTATGAATTCCAATCAAGCACATGCCTGGTGAGACTAGAAGCAGGCTTCCAGTGTGTGTAGCTGATCCATTCCCTATTTCCGTTTCTTGATGTCAATCTTGATTGAGGCCTGTCTTCTCCAGTCCCAATTTCCTTTATAATACCTAGATTTTATGAACTCAAGTGCAGTAGTAGATTGGCAGCAAGGTATCATCAATTCACAGTTCAAATGTCTAGATGCAACCGTAAGTTCTATGCTGACAGTTTCTTCTATTGCACTTCTTGCCTGTGGGACTCTCTTCTGGCTTCTTGCTTTCCAGCAACTTTGATTTTACAAAAATTTAAATGCAATGGCAATCATTAACTTCTGTCTTCTTAGTTTTTGTTCTTTTATTGTCCTCTGTCCTTAATAATGTCTTCTTTTTCTCATATTCTTTCACACTTGGTAACCACTTGCCTCTTAGTGGCTTTATTGCCTTGCTTGGAGTGAAATGATAAAAAAGAATTGGCATATCCCCTATAATAATCTGACTGGCATCCAAAATTCTTCATTGGATAAATATATCATCAGCTGTTGAAGAGTTGACTCCAGTATATGCTCTTATTTTCGGCTGACATAAAGTGAAAAGCCTCTATTGAATCAAATACTACTAGGTCAGCTGCTAGGCAAGTCTGTTCATTGTGTCGTGTTTGATAATTTTGCAGCAAGTTCTCATCAATGTCCATTTGAAATGGCTAGACGAAACCGTAAGTTCTATGCTAACACTTTCTTCTCTCACACTTATCACATGTGGAACTGTCTTCCGGCTTCTTGCTTCGCAATCAATTCTGAAAAAAAAACTTTGTGTTTAGAATAAATTGCAAAACGAAGACAATTTTTAAGAATGTATTTTTTCATTTATTAATCTAGATATTTTCATTTATTACCACCCAAGACTAAACTTTCCCCTGCAGCCATTGTGACTGGGTCTACCTGACCTGTATTGAACTGATCAGCCACCAGCAAGCTTGGAGCTGATGTGGACAGCTTCCTTCCTAGATTTTTGCTTGCTCGAGCAAAGAA